TTACTTTCCACGTAAGGTCCCCATATGTCCAGATTTGTCTTGACGCTGCCTTTAAGAAGAAAAGAAAACGTGTTTTGGACGCAGGCTAAATTGGAATTCTATTCCGGAAAGTTTGAGAAATTTTGCTAATCTCGTTACAACATTATCATAAAGGGGGTTTCAGTGTGAGTGTCACGGTCGAAGTGTCAGTCCCTCGCGAGCCGCCTCGCTCGAGTCTCTCACGTGATATACCGCATCCGATACCGCGAAGGCCTTATTGTTAGTGGATGCGGTATTCTACCACGTCTTACCTGGTAGAATAGACCCAGGGAGGCTGCTCCCGAGGACCTGAGTCAACCGTGAAACTCAGACTGAAAGCTCGTGTACATGAAGGCGCATGCTTATTTGGGAACGCATGCGAGCGCGCGCGGATGAAACATCCGCCTTGTGTGACTGAGATAAGCCGTATTTTTATCACGCCCATATGACAATAATCTAATATTCTAGCAAAAACTTCAAATCGGTTTGAAGAGGGAAAAATAAAAAAAAGAGGGAAAAGAATTGAAGCAAACCTCCATGGATCGTCCAGTTGGTATTTCGACTTTGTAGTCTCGCCCCCAAAAATAGGCACACTGTTGGTCAGCGGTGAATCTTTGTCCCGGAGTTCTAAAGATTAGTAAAAGCATATTGTACCATCGTTGTGCATACGTACCTTCCATCTTGTAGATGATTTCGCTCTACTAGTCCAGAAGCGCCATCTCGTAAACAGTTGCCTTTGCCAGACTCGCTAAAATATTTTTTTGCTACCGTACTTGACCTGAGGGGAGTGCTGCGAAAGCGACAATCTAAAATTTCGCGCCAATAGACGGGTGCATGTCGAAAGGCGCGCGCTTCAGCAAGTTTATCATAGTACTTGGCAAAAGCAGACTCTTCAGACTCGGAAAAATTTCGTATCAGAAAGTGTAGCGGTGCATCATGTAAGTTTTGAGCCCCAAAAGGAACAACATGGTTCAAATTTATGAGGATTGGTCCGCGTCTCTGGTCATTTTCTAGACAGACGCTAGCTTTTTTGCGCTAAAAAACAGTGGATGACATGGCGCGAAATTCAAGATGCCCCAAGTTTTTGCGTTCTGCACGTACTGTCGTCCGCGTGCGTGCTCCCCCTCATTTTTTGTATTGAAGCAGAGACTTACTCTAACTGTAGCAGAAATGCATTGAACTCCCGAACTGAACACTCGGACCATGTTGTCTTTCCAGCACCGTTGACAGCAGACATAAGACAGCAGGACTTACTGCACTGATTTTGCACTCCGTCGTGGACCATACCCATGCTATAAGTTTCTATGAGAACGAGCGAATGATTCATATGTCGCTTACTTATGTCCCATTTCATGGGCGAGGACAAACGAACGGCCCAAATGGAGTCCTTCGACTAGGGAGCACGCGAATAGCTGGTCACACATTCTTGCCACGGGAGCTACGCCAGCAACGGACGCTGTTGTGTGATAGATGTCGTAACTAAATACTTGAAAAGTGAATTCGAATTACACAAAAAACATGCTTTATACCCGGTCAATAAAACACCATGGTCCCAATGCCCAGCATCGGTGAGATCTGTTCCAGGGTTGATGTGAGCCTGATGGCGACAAAACGCATCCAGCAAGCTTTGTGCTTGTCCATTTTTGTGGACGAAAGTAGCCAAGTTACTCTGAAAACCGTTGGAAGTCACTGCTGACAAAATTTTTGAAAAATTGTGTTCTATGAAATCATAAACATAAAAAGGTTATATAATGCTA